CAGCCAATTTGCACACCACATTGCGAAACAAATAGCAATGAAGTGAATGACCAATTTTATCCGGAGTCCAAGCAGTGTATTTGGGTCAAAGATCCACTAATTAAAAAGAGTCATCCATGTCATGATTATTTGTAGGGCACTGCAGTGTGTAGATTGGATGCCAAGTTCTACACACAAAATATGCAATAACTACATTTTACAATGAAGCCTGTGAAGAGCTTCAGGACTTCCTCCCATCGTTAAGGGTGTTATATTAAATGCAAGGATTATTATTTATTATTGATCTCTCTACCAGAGGGAAGAGCCAACAATACCTATTGTGGATGCCATCCATCTCACAATCCAGGGGAGAAAGTGAGTTCACTGAAGCCGCTGAGCACACACCTCAATTAGTATAAGGCCGGGCTATTTGGTAACTAATTCACAGCCTTTAGAAAGCATTGGTGTAATTTTAAAAAAAAGTATTTTCATTTTTTTAAAGTGTTTTTGCAACGGATAAAAGATAGTAATATTGGCACTTAACAATCCCGGTTAAGTTTTTCTTCAGTCACTATTTGGGGCACAAGCTCTAAAAGTGAATGAGCTGTTCACTGTAACAAAAAGAAAGGTTGGTGATTCAGAACTCCGCAAGATCATATATAGATTTTCAGATACGTCTGCAGGTGTGCAAGATTTCAACAATAAAACGAGACATCAGACACCTGGCCAGGAAGGCGAGTCATGCAAGGCGCAGTATTAACACATTCATGCAGGCTGCAATGTTTGAGGAGATTAGTAAGTTATCGTCTCAATGTCTGGTTTGGGTTTTGATTTATATTAAATAAATCAAAGGCTTTGTTATAATAATCCCCCATTGCGGCGTATACATAGATGGGGTTGTGATAACTCCAGACTTTCGACCCTTTTGTTTAAACTACATTAGACATAAATATGAAAATATTCTCAAGAATGCATGTCACAACACGTCAAAATGTCCCACAGTATATCTCAAGTGGAGGATCTGACCAAACCCCACCTTAAACTGTGCACATTTCCAACAAGGGTTTATTTCCCTCTCTCTAGCCCAGGGTCACCGAAAGCAATTGCAAAGAATGTACGGCATGGAAACAGGCCACTCGGCGCAAACGTCCATGTTGAAAATTTGTATCCCTCTGTATTGATAAGTTTCCAATTTAGATAACGTATAGATTCATGTGTAGGGAAAAGGAAGGAGACTGTGACTAAGTGCCAGGGGCCAGATTAACCAATAAACATGTAAACCGTGGTTTAGGGCCCAGAGCTCTAAGAAGGCCCCAGATGTCTGGAGCCCTTCCGCCCACAGTAGCGTTGGGGATCGTTCCTCATAGGTCCACTCCTCACTGTGAATTCAATGGGAAGTATTGACTCCTGGTCTCTCGCAGGTCCGTGTCACTCTACACTGCGTCCAGCCGCTCTGCCCACAGTGACGTTGAGTGAAAAGCTAGCATACGCCCATGTGGCAGACACTTAATTTTCTAGCGGGTTTATAGTGGAGGGTGTTATTCATAGAGGATTCCACAGAAAAATTGCATCCGCACTTTTCAATTGGCCCAGGTGATGACAAAGGACCCTCTATCTGATTATTTAAATAGTTTTACTGAGCACAGTCCATCTCTACCTCCCCATCTCCCCAACAGGCAGCTATAACAAAGACCACGATAAGGCACAATATCAAATGCAAGGATTATTATTATATCACCAGCCGCCTCCGCTCCCTCAAAACACAGGTGCATGTCGCTGAACGTACCTGTCTTAAATTGAATTTAACAGTCCATCGACAGAACTGGTTGGACCTTATCTTATCCGCAAATCATCATTCTACTCCAAGGCAATCTTGGAGGCCAAGGACAACCCCAGGCTCTTCTTCTCCATCACCAACCAGCTCCCCCGCCTAACCTTTCATACCTCACCCATCCTCACCTCCAATGCCAACTGCGAGGTGAAGCTGGACTTCCTCAAATCCAAAGTTGAGGCGATCCGCTCAGGTGCCTTTGCCCTTCCATCGACTACCCCCTCCCCATCTCCCCCTCTCACCCCGGCCCCTACCCATCCCTCCCTCCACATCTTCGAACCTGTCTCCTACTCCTCTCTCATCACCACTACAACTCGCGTGAAACCGACCACCCGTTCCCTCGAACCCATCCGTACCCCTCTCCTTACCTTCAAGCTCCACCTCCTTGCCCCTCTACTCATAGACAACATAAGCCTCCCCCTGTCCACTGATGCTGTTCCCACCCCATGAAAAATGGCCGTCAATACTCCTATCCTGAAAAAACCCTCCATGGACCCAACATTACTCTCAAACTACCATCCCATCGCCAACCTCCATTTCCTCTCCAAAGTCCAGGAACAAGTTGTTGCTTCCCAGCTTCACTTCTTCTCCTGCCACTGCCTTCATGAACCCATCCAGTTGGGTTTCCGTGCCACCCACAGCACAGAAACAGCCCTGGTCAAAGTGACAAATGACATTCTGTCCATCTGCGACTAAGGCTCCCTCTGCCTCCTCATCCTCCTTGACCTTTCTGCTGCCTTCAACACCGTTGATCACTCTATACTCATCCACCACCTCTCCCCTCACCTCAACCTTCATGGCTCTGTTCTTGATTGGTTCAGATGGTACCTCTCACACCGCCTCCGCTTCATCTCTACTAACGGTTTCTCCTCTAGCCCCCGCATCATCTTGTGCTGCTTTCCTCAGGGTTCTGTCGTTGGTCCCCTCCTTTTCAATATGCTACTCTTGATGACAGAGTAGACATAGGGTCAACTTTCACATGTATGCAGATGACACCCAACTCTACCTCTCTGCCTCTACCCTTAACTCCAGGACCACTGCTGTCCAGGCAGAAGGTCTGTCAGACATCAAGTCCTGGATGAGAGCTAACTTTCTTCAGTTCAACGTCAACAAGACCGAGGCTCTCCTGAGTGGCTCCCAGCAGCGCCTCCACATCTGATAACAGCATCACCATCCACAGATGCACACTCCACCTTAGTAAACCAGTCCAGAACCATGGCATCTTGTTTGACCTTCAACTATCCTTTCTACCCCACATCTGTGCCATGACCCGCTCTGCCTTCCCCCATCTCCACAACATCACCCAGCTCCGCAACTGTCTCGCACGGTAGGCCGCCAAAACCCTCATACATGCATTTATTGCATCGAGGCTTGACTATGCAAATTCCTTGCTTGTCGGCCTCCCCAACTCCTCCTGCAGATCATCTAGAACTCTGCAGCACATGTGCTCTCCCGCACCAGGCTCCGTGACCCTAACACCCCCATCCTCATCCAACTCCATTGACTTCCCATCTCACAGAGAATACAGTTCACGATCCTGGTCCTCACCTTTAAAGCCCTCCATGGTCTTGCTCCCCACTACCTCTACGACCTCTTAACCCCCTATCATCCTGCCCGCTCCCTCCGCTCAGTGGGCTCCAGCCTGCTTCACATTCCCCGCCTCGCCCACCCCACATTGGCGATCAAGCCTTCTGCCACTCTGCCCCCACCCTCTGGAACTCCATCCACAGTCCCTCTCCCTCACCCCCTCCCTTGCCTCCTTCAAGATCCATCTCAAGACCCTCCTCTTCAACCATGCGTTTGATCACCCTGCTTACCCCTCCCCACCCTCCACCCTCCCCGGTCCCGACCCCAAGCTCAGGTCCGAAACTTTGACTGTCCAGCGCCTTCGGACGTCCTATTGATATGAAAGGTGCTATACTAATGTAATTTTGTTGTATTGTTATTATAACAGCACAGTCGCAAAAAACAGAGATCTCCAACTAGTCAATCGCCACTAGATGACGCCTCGCACGTGCTGAAAAAATACAAAAGGAAGGAGTGATATTTACCGAAGTTTAAACATTAAAGTTTATATTTTTGTTCGAAGATGTGTGAGATACTACGTACTTCTGGTTTCATTTTCATTAGGACTCAATGCAATGCAATTCTAACGCTTCTTCGCCGTGTCTTTTTGATCATGTGCGAGACCACCACCTGGTGGTGATTCCGGTTGGAGATTCCATGCACCAGACACACACACCACAAAGGGATTGCCTGGAGCTGGAACAATGCAGCTTTCAAGTTTGGGAGCCCAACGCCAACTTTCATTATTATGAATAATAATCCTTGCAATTGATGTCGCACTTGATCACGCTGTTGAGACGTCTCAAAGCACTTCACAGGATATACTGTGTGGGCGAAAAAGGCAGCAGCATAGCGGTGTCCCACAAGCAGTTGCCGGATTGAGTGACCAATTTTATTTGGGCAATCGTTGACCAGGACACTTGGAGAAACTCCCTTTCTCTTTTCAAACAGGGTCATTGGCTGGGCCAACAACCTTCTAACTCGGGCGGGGAGAGCCCGTCCACCTCGCCAGGCTGACCCACATTTTAGTATCTATATGCAGCCAGTGACCTTCAGCTGGGTTGACGTCTCGGAGTGCTTAACGGTAGTGGAGCTTGGGTGGGGGGAGGGAGGGAGGTGGGGGGGGGGAAGGTGACCACAGTCACAAAAACAACAAATCACACTGACATAACGCCGTTCACCTCGCGAGGACATCCCGAGGCGCTGGTCAACAAAGGATTAACAACAAATTACACTTGTGCTGCGCCGCCTCGTACGTCAGGAGGACCTCCCGAGAGGAAGAGGAAGGTCTCCACACTTTGGAGTCGAAAACGTTCCCCGGCAAATCCCAGTGTCAGACGGGACCGGAAGACAGTGGCTGCCCCCAGCCCACCACCCCCACCATCATCATCATCATCATCATCTTCATCATCACCGTCTCTTTAAAATAAGGCTCCTTTACAAAGATGGCGGCGGAGCGGCATCACGGCACGATCACGTGCACCCCCAGCCCGCGCGAGTCTCGCGATGTCACGAGGAGCCGCTGCGTGCGCGTGTGTGTCGTGTGTCGTGTGTGTGTGTGTGTTCCCTGCCCTTTAAGAAAGCCCCCCCGGCGGGACACTTTCCCTTTAAGGCGCGAGCCGCCATGCGTTGCTTGCGGGTCGCAGCGCGGTGCTGGTTGAACGGCGGCGGGAACGGGAACGGCCCCAGAGTCGCCCTCAGGCGGGTCGCCAGCGCGGCGGCGGCGGCTCCGCCTGTCCCTCCTGCCCGTACCCCCACCCCCGGCTCGGCGCCGCCCGTCAGGGGCAGCGGCACCGGGTTGGCCGCCGGGCCCGACCATTTTGTTCGCAACGCCACCGAGGAGGAGAGGGAGGAGGAGGGGGACAGAGGCCGGGCCTCGAGCCCCGAGGATCCCCCGCCCTATCTCGGCCGCCTGGACCCGGCCCTGGGCTCCGGCAGGAAAGGTCCGCGCGCCCCGGGGGGTGGGGGTGGGGCTGGTGGTGGGGGGTTGACAGACATTACAATAGGTTTTTTGGAGCTCGAAAACCCCTCCACCCGGTTACTACCCCCCTCCCCCCTCCCTCTCCCCCAAAGTCTGGTGTGTGTCAGTCAGCAGATCACTCCCTGTCCCCCCTCTGCCCCCCCTCCCCCCTCTCTGCCCCCCCTCCCCCCCCTCTGCCCCCCCCCCCCCCCTCTGCTCCCCCCTCTGCCCCCCCTCCCCCCTCTGCCCCCCCTCCACTCTCTCTCCCGTCCACTCTCCCCTCTGGAGTCAAAGGGTTATAATAGTAATCCTTGCATTTGATATAGCACTTTTCACGTCTTCTCGATGTCTCAAAGCGCTTCACAGAACACACTGTAAAGTGAATTGACTGTATATTTGTGGGCGAACGCGGCAGCCAATTGCGCACAGCAATGTCCCACAAACAGCCGTGGATTGAAAATGACCAATTTATTATTGTTTTTGTTTTGGAGGGATTATTATTCAATGGGTTCAAGCTCCCACTTGTCAGGACTTGGAATCACATAGTCCAAGCGTCCCTCCATCTCTCTTCCCCTCCTCCCCTCCCCCCACCTCACCACCATGTAACTTTACACAATAATAACACCTGCACTGGATGCTGTTCCCCGTCGTGTCTTCGAGACGTCTCCAAACAGAATATACCGTAAAGCGAACCGACTGGACGCACACACACACACGCGCGTCGTTGGCGAAACGCGCACAGCACAGCGGCGTCCCTCCCGCACACGGTTGTGGATTGGATGACCAAATTACTATTTAGTTTTTTTTGAAGGGATTATTTACAGGACCCTTCCCTTGGGTGTTTTATGAATACGAAGCCCCCCCCCCCTTGTCCTCGCGTGCAGCAAAACAAATGGCAATAGAAGGGCAATTAATCTGTTTTGGTGGATTTCGATGAGGGAGGAGTGTTGGCCCGGACACCAGCTCCCTGCACTTCTTAGCAGTTGTATGGTTGGGTTGTAACCTTCACCCAAACCTGTTTAATTCTTATTTTTCTTATACTGGTGAGCGAGGTTGCCCCCCCCGCTCTCAAAAGTGCAATGCCAAAGCAGTTCACACAACCCCATTCTAATTCTGGACCTCAAATCGCCAAATGCAGCGCAGGTGCTGGCTTCCATTTGTTCATGGCTACATGATCACAGCTCAATCCACTGGATCGACTAAGATGAAGTCTGCTGAATGTCTCACCTGAAAACATCTGGCATCTGATAGTAAAGCTCTTCCCTTAATTATGGGCAGGAGGTAACCAAAGTTAGGTGTTCAGGCAGGAGACAAGGCAGAGGGACAACAATGAATAAGGATGGACAACACAAAAAATATTTTTATGAGTCCTTTCACATTGGACTATCTACTCGTTTCACTGTGCAAAATCCAGAATTGGGTTGGACTGCACCACAATTATGTGACTTTCTTAAAAATAAGTGAGAAGGGTGGCCCAAGTTTCAGAACAAATTTAAATCAGTCGATTAGCAAAACAGAACAGAATTGTTTTATCTCCATTGAAAGCAAATGTATGGATGTTGGTGCTAATGATGCTGTTTTATGTTATTTTTGTGCTTTCTTATATCAAATGTCTTGTAATTTTTAGTGTACTTCGAAACCTATGGGTGTCAGATGAATGTTAATGACACTGACATTGCTTGGTCCATTCTCCGAGATAATGGCTACATGAGAACAAACAGCTCCACGGAGGTAAGATATATCATTGGCTCACTTTATTTTTTCTCGCTGCGTTATTATTATGCATATTGAGCATTTCACGCAATCTAGCATATTCACAAGATAAATTATTGAACTGTAGTGGGTCTCTACCTCTTGTCTCCTTTGCTCCATCATTGCCGGTTTTGTTTTCAGCCACTATGCCACAAAAACTGAAGCTCACTGCCTCAATCCCACTGCCTTGCACCTCTTCCCTATCTTCAGAAAGTATCTGAAGACCTTCCTCTTTGACTGTGCCTAATGTGTCACCTTCCTTTTCTTCCTGGCTCCGTTATTATGCAACGCTCCAAAACACTACCCTGTGTAAAGGGTGCTATATAAATGCAAGTTGTTGCAGATCCAGTCCTGCCAGTGGAAGAGATAGCCCCAGGGCCGCCAGAAAGAGCAGAATGACCCCTTTCAGTGCAATAAACTGTTTATCATTCTGTGAATAGATTCTAAGTTTATATATTACTACTTTGAGATTCTTGTACTTATTAAAAAAAGAATCGTTTTAAGAAACAGTCTGATTTTATTTTTGTTACAGGCAGATGTAATTTTGCTGGTAACATGTTCAATCAGGTACTGTATGTATTTGTTTCTATAATTCACATTGTTTCCTTCAGTTTCCCTCTTGTATTGACTGAAATGTTCAGTTCCATTCTCCATAGACTGCGTTACTAATTGTTCTATGTGAAAGTTAACACTATTCACATGTATTAAAGGAGCAGAGTAGAGGTCTCATAGTCTTCCCCCCACACACACACACACACTTACAGTATATGTAATCCTCCTGTGCAAGTTAATGACAATAATTTTATTAGAGCTCGAAATGTTACAGTGATTGTAAAGAGTGATTATTGATTTTCCTTTTCAAAAACAAGAGTTTCTACTTCTTGAAGTGGTACCTTCCTGTCTTCTTTCCCTGGTCTTTTCCGACTTCAGGCTTGTTAGTGGCCCATATTTATACACATGAACAAACAATTTTTCTCGACCTTTCCTTTAATTCTCAAATACAAGACCTTCTGGTTTGTCTAACAGATATCGTTTTCTTGTTTTTACTTCTCAGCTAACAACGACCATCTCATTTGAACATCCCTTCTCTATATGACTGACATTAGATAAGGACAAGGCCACCTAACTATTAAGCACAGGCACCACTTGTTTGGCTTATATCTCACATAATATAGACCATCTGTTTGCCCATATCTTTTTCCTCATTACCGTACCACAATGAGAAGATATTATATAAGGAAAAGACAAAGACCATCTGGTTACACATCCCTTTTTCCTCAATACCATACCAAACTGAACAAGGACATTTGATAAGGATAAAACAGACATTACATATTTCTAGCACAAATTAAAAAGTTACACTAATACAATCATCAGCAGCATTTCACTTATGGTACAGCAGTTCAAATGTTCAGTAATTTTCCATTGTAGATAAAATGCATAGCAGTACCACAGCACACACATAATGCATCATAAACAACTTATGTCAAGCACCATTTTATGCTAAGTCAATTCGCCCATAATGCTTCACTAGTTAATTCCGTTTAATCATTTGAACTTGCAGGGAAAAAGCTGAGCAGACCATTTGGAACAGGCTGAAGCACTTTGTGACTCTAAAAGACAAACGGACAAAGTCCCAAGTTCCACTTAAAATAGGAATTTTAGGTATAGTGGTCTCTATCTACTGACTGTTTAGAATTGATATAGAAAACAAAATCAAATATATTCTTCTAAAACACCGTACGTTTCTTTTTAGTTGAGTGGCATAAGCAGCATATGAAATATAGACCTACTAATTTGCCTGTTGAATGAATGAGTACATAGAAAACTTGATATATTAGGAGTATAATTGTACATATCAACTTTCATTTGGAATTCAACTTTCATTCAGCGCCTTGGGACCTCGTCCCGATGTGAAAGGTGCTCTATAAATGTAATTTTGTTGTTATTGTTCATTTGCATGCATTTAATATAACTATCCATTTCCAATTAAAGTAACCTTGTTATTGAAGAGTTGTATGTTGATTTATATGGTTAACCTCTTTTTGGAGGTTTAAGTGATAAGCCATTACAAATGGATCTGATATTGTTTCTGTTGATGTAATAGGATGTATGGCTGAGAGACTGAAAGAGGAGATCCTGGAAAGGGAGAAACTCGTAGATGTACTGGCTGGGCCCGATTCATACCGTGATCTTCCAAGACTCCTGACTGTAGCTGAAGCTGGTCAAAAGGCTGTGAATGTTTTACTGTCATTGGATGAGACTTATGCAGATGTCATGCCAGTTCAAGTCAACTCAAAGACTAAGTCTGCTTTTGTGTAAGTAAAGCCTGAATTTACTAATCTGAACTGAGGGTTGGAAGAAATAATCAGAATTTTCACTTTTATAGTGACCAGTGCCTTTCACGTTAGAAGAATGTCTCAAAGTGCTCGTCAGAGACTAGGTGGAAGCCAGAGCTGGTCGGGGGTTAGAAGAGAGATAGACAAAAGTGCTATCAGAGATGGGTCTTTAGGTAGTTTCGGAATGCGGATTAGAAGAGGCAGAGGGACTCCAGAAGAGAGTTCCAGAGAGTATGGCAAAGTAGCTGAAGGCTTTTCCTATTGAAGTCTCCTCTTTGCCTTCTTCTCCAAGCTGCCAGTATTGTTTAATACATCATATGTTTCCTTTTTTTGCTTTTGTAACATTCCTTTGCCAAATGTGTGGCAACGGAATATTCCATTTACTCACCGGCCTTTACAAATTTTGCTGCTGAGTTGAACAATAGAAGATGGCTGAGAATGTTTTTGTGTAACTTGCTTCTCTAATTTACTCGCTGTCAATAAACTTCTAGCCTCTCTTATAGTCATCAACTGAGGAAAGATATTATGAACCTACAATTTAGATAAAGTTTATTTATTTTATGAACACAGTCATATAGTATATGTACGCTTTGTGGTACTCCTGGAGAATGTGCGATACATAGAATTGTGAGCAATTATTATTTAGCATCCGGAAGAAAGAGACTGAATTAGCTGCACCTAAAAGAATATATTTCTGTTCCAGCTCCATAATGCGGGGATGCAACAATATGTGCAGCTATTGTATCGTTCCGTTCACTCGTGGGCGTGAAAGAAGCAGGCCAGTTTCTTCCATTTTAGAGGAAGTAAGGGTGCTTTCAGATCAGGTAATTCCACTTTTGAATACTTACGGATATTAAACCTCAGATCTTAATCACACATGATTTGTCAGAAAATAGGATTCAATCAACATAGTTGATCAGATGGATCTCATTCATGTGAATAANTTATTGGAAATTGTTTTTGATGGAGGACAACTTACTTTTTAATATTTTGTTGGAGGAGGCATTTTATCTAAAAATTGGAAATATTGTGCATTCCTAAATGCAAACTAAGGGAAAGGAACCTGAGAGATATCGCTTAAAAACTGTCAGGTTTTAAACATGAATTATTTACTTGGGGAAAAAACGGTAATTTTAAAGGAATTAGTCAGAGAAGAAAGAAGATTAATGAAATAAGTGAAGATGGAATTTGCAGCAATGATTGTATGCTGAATGGTGTGTTGAGTCTGATTAAATGGACATGTACTTCTGATTACAGGGAGTGAAGGAGGTAACGTTACTGGGGCAGAATGTCAACAGCTACTGTGATACCTCTGAAGTCCAATTTCACACAAAAGAACCTACTCATCTGAGCCGTGGGTTTCGTACCATATACAAAAGCAAACTTGGAGGCTTACGTTTTGCTGATTTGTTGGATCAGGTTTCCACAATCAATCCAGAGATGAGAATCCGTTTTACGTCTCCTCATCCCAAAGATTTCCCAGATGAGGTACAGTAATGATCATCATTTTTTATTATTAGAAATATACCTTCTATTCTGCATTTCCAGATAACCAATATAAACCTGATGGGATAGGACCAATGCATCCTTTTATAATTACTTGTGACCATTTAGCCTTCTGAACCTGGACTTTCAATTTTCAAAGGCAAAGCAGAACAAGGGGACATGGTCAGGTTAAGATAAGAATGACAACTAACAAAAAATCCGTAAATGTTTGCGTAGTACTCCAATTCAATGAAATGCTTAACATTAGAATGTGTGAAACACGGTTTGTGTAATTTGGAGCTGTCAGCCTGGCTCAGTTGGTAGCATTCTCACCTCTCGGTCAAGTGCTGAGTGAGATCTTGTCTGCCTGATTAGATGTGCGTAAAATAACTCATGAAGACACTATTTGAAAAGAGATGGGAGTTTCTCCAGGTGTCCTGGCCAACAGTCTTCAAATTAAATTAATCGTTCACCTTCTGGCTGTTTATGGGATGTTGCTGTGTGCAAATTGGCTGCTGTTTTTGCCTACAAATCCATAATCACAACGCTTAACAGTAATTATTGTAAAGCGATTTGAGGAGTTTAGATGTGAAGCAATGTATCAAATGCAAGGGTTATTATTGTAATCAAATCTGCTTATATTTTTATTGCTTCTCCACCTTTTTATATCTTTGCTGCAATTGGTTCCGGTAATACATTTCTTCAAAAATAAATGAGATGCATGATTCAACATTAGACACAATGATGAACCGAGCATTCACTCCAGGTTAATAAACACCATATATTCACTGATAATAAACATAAAGTCAAAACTATATATTGATTCAGGTTTTGTTAGTGAGAGCACTGTTTCCAGTTAATAAAACCATTTATTCAACATTAAATACAATGATGAACCTTAAAATTAAATTCTTAACTTGCTTTTTTCATTTCCATCCACATAGGTTTTACATGTTATCGAAGACAGGGACAACATTTGTAAACTCCTCCATTTGCCAGTACAGAGTGGCAGTTCACAGGTTCTCAAAGCAATGAGAAGAGGGTAAGCAGCTTTCAGGCAATGGAGTTCCACAGCATTTATATTTTTGGCTTGCAGATTTAAGATAACAAAATTAATATCCCTTTTCAGAAGAAACTTATCATTAACAACCCTTATGTGTTTTACTTTTTGAAACACTGAATGCTGCTCCTAGAAATGTTGCTTTATAAATAGCTAAAACATTTAATAAAGTGGTTACTTATGCACTTAATCATATAATAAGGATGTGTAATTCAGACATAAGTAGATTTAGGATGCAATTAATACAACAACAATAAAATTACATTTATAGAGCACCTTTCACGTCGGGAGAATATCCCGAGGCGCTGACTCACATTAATATAACTGAAGCACACATTACTTAATTTGCATGGTTGCATTGTAATGAGGCTAACATACAAATATATTTACTAAGCAATTAGGAATTTTAATATTAATAAGAATCCTTGTATTTGATGCTGTACCTTTCATGTCATGGGGACATCTCAAACTGCTTCATAGGTTACACAGTGAAATGTAGTGACTATTTTTGTAGACAATTTATCTATCTAAGATCATTTATCCCAGAAAATTCTCTTTGATGACCGTAATTTACATTCAATAGAATTAATTCATTTTTAAAGTAATTTGGTTGGGCAAAGAAATAAATTTCTTATTGAGTACATTTCTCATTTTTTTCCTTGGAAAACATTTTTTTTACCATTTGAACCGTTATGCAGACTTGTCATTTCATTAAAAAAAAAGGCTATTCAGCAGTGATAAAGGGGGAAATCTGCGAACGAGTTGCTACATCTAAAAAAAATTAGCATCAAACTAGTATGTTTTCCTTCCTGGATACTGCCTGTTTTTGTTAGTAAGCTCCTTTTGTTCCTTATTTTTCTACTTTTCTTTCTCATAGATATACCAGAGAATCATACTTAGAACTTGTTGAGCGCGTACATAGAATAATCCCAGGTAACGTCATTTTTTTTGTTCCTTAACACTGAGGCGTATAAGAACATTTGCCTTTCTTTTGTCACTAGTTTAGAATTTCCTGTTCTAGAGCAGAAAGATTAGGTTAAGAACATAGGAACAGGAGGAGTCTATTCAGCCCTTTAAGGCTGATCTGCTATTTTATTAGATCATGTCAGATCTAATCCCATTTCCCTAATTTTTCTCCATACATAATAATATTACTCCCAAAGTAGCTATATCCTTTTTAAACATCCCATTTGATTCTGCCTGTTCAGTCTTCTGATGCAGTTTCCTTGAACATTAACTGTTCCTTGCGTGAAATTTAGTGTCCTTCCTCATCCAAACTTGCATATTCTTTCACATGTTGAAGAAGGGATGTTTCCCATTATAATGTAATGATAATGTTTGTACGTTTAATAAATTGGGCAGAAATTTATTTATTGTGTTCTTTGAGCTCCTTTTGAGAATCACAAAGCTGGAAGTAGCCAATGCGTCGATGCACAGACAGACGTATTTATTCATCAGCACTAACTAGTCTTGATAAGTCAAAAATGATAAGATAATATATTGCACCTTTGCATTGTTCTGATAACTTAAGTTTTTGAATTTACATTCCTGACACATACATTTATGGGCAATGGGGAAATGTATGTGATCTTTGCTTGTAATTGGTTAAGGAATAGCAATGTACACTTTGTTATATGTAATATACAATTGTACTGTTACAAACCATAGGTGTATGCTTAAGTAGTGACTTCATCGCTGGATTTTGTGGGGAGACTGAAGATGATCATTTGCAAACGATATCTGTTCTTAGACTGGTTCAATATAACATAGGATTTCTGTTTGCCTACAGCATGAGAAAGGTGAGCTATGCAATCTATTAGTAATGCAAAATTCTGGGTCCTTTTGTCACATACTCATTATACATTACAAACCTCTTATTCACCTGTGCCCAAATTGATGCTCATTGTTCAAAAATAAAGTAATATCGGCCCCTATTGAAGTATTATTAGAAGCTCTGTTTAAACATTCAAGTATACCTGAAAGGCAAATGCTATCTTGGTATTCAGAAAAGGATGTGAGAGAAGCTGCAAGTTATTGACTGGTTAATGTAATATTGCTTGTGGGAAAAAAAATCAGCATTATATGGGAATTATCATTGCACATTTAAAGTGTACCACTTTTTATTGTGTTGAAACTTTTGTTGGTGATAATCTGTTAGTTTGAAGAACAAGAATGTTCCTAAAGAGAATATTTTCCTGATAAAAATAAGTAACAATGAAGGGTGATGTTTAACTAAATGGGTTCTGGTATGTCCATTTTAAAATCCTGTAAAATTCAATTCCATAGGCTCTCCTTCCCCTTTCTGAGATGTCAACGGTTAGATATAGAAATCTTAAAATAAAAAAGGTGCTTTGTAAGAACTTCATGACTGATGCTTATTATTTCTAGAAAACTCATGCACATCATAGGTTGCAGGACGATGTACCTGCAGCAGTTAAGCAGAGGCGTTTGCAAGAACTTATCAGTGTTTTCCGAGAAGAAGCAGCTAAAATCAACTCAGAACTTATTGGGAGTAAGCAACTCGTGTTAGTGGAAGGGGTGAGTACAAGATGTTATTGACCTTGAAAAAAATGTCAGATTTTCAAACCCAAATGACCCTCATTTGTTTTATGTGAAACTAACCCTAATTGGCCCAGATAAAAGTAAACTAGCACACATTTCTATTTTTAACTTAGATTTTAAAATAATAGATTTAGTTCAGGAACACATCTTTTTTAAGAAGTTATGGGAGATATGACATCTAATGTAAAATACAAAATAATGCAATTTCATGTGGGGAAGATGTCTCAAAGCTCTTAAAATGTTTTCTTAATATACAGTAAAATATGATGCAGTGTATTGTATTTGTAACTGTCTTCAGATATTGTATCACCGATTCATACATAAAACCACTGTATATCAATTCATTTTTTATTTGTTATTTTTTTCCAGTTTAGTAAGAAGTCCGAGCAGGAACTTTGCGGAAGGAATGATGGTAACACTAAAGTAATATTTCCCAATGTTGATACAGCATGTAACCAATCATCTGGCCAGCTTGCTCCTGTCAAACCTGGAGATTATGTATTAGTGCAAGTAAGTGACATTTTGCTTGAATGGCCATTAAGATATTGTATTTTTAAACCACTTATTTGCATGCTAATATTTCATTTTTGAATTGTATTCTTTTTGTGAAATTATATCAAATTGTGTAGAATTCTTAGAAAAAAATACAAACAAAACAAACATAATTTACAGCGCGGAATTTATTCACTAAGTAATAGCAACTAAACAAAAAAAATAACTTGAAGAATATACACCACCCATTTACCAGAGATATTTCAATTCTCAGTTATTGTTTAAGAGATATGATTTAGCAGCTGGGTGCTTATCACCTGGAATGAGGGTAAGTACAAAGGCAAGGGTGTGTGTCCAAACAACCACTTGAATGATACAGAGAACCCTAAATCTAATTTATTCCATTAATGCCTTATTTCTGTGGCAGCAATTTGATTGACCCACTCTAATTTAGTCATGACACTGCTATAAGCAAAACTACTGTTGACTCTAAAGGCTGAGGCCAATTGTTTCAGGCACCATTAATCAAGCTGATAGAGACCATTTTAGTTTTTAACAATTGATTAGCAACACTGCAAAGGTACAGTAAAGTCATAGTTACCTAAACAGGAGAACAGAGGGACAGTGGCTTCAGCAGAGTCTTCTCGAGTCTCCTCTCAAAGCAGCAGCTACTCTGAGCTCCGTTTATATCCACTTGTTTACTACATTCATAACTTTACACACAGACACTGTTTTTGTCTTACATCTGCATACCAAGACCATCTGATTACACATCCCTTTTCCCACACAACCTCACCAGACAAAAGCAAGGACATTAGATAAGGAAAAGACAGCAAGGTTACAAAAGTCACATGAATACAATTATCAACAATATTTCACTTGAAGGTACAGCAGTACAAATGTTCAGTACTGTAATTTTCCATTATAGGCAAACTGCATAGCAACACAGCAGCATAATGGTCAACTCAACAGACTTTTATCGGTCTACACTATTGTTCCTACCAGTGTAGCCATGTGGAGCAGGATGTCTGATTTTATATCTTCAATTTTATGTTGCTGAGACGGGTCTGGAAAAAATACGGAACCAAAATAAGTGTTTTAGTTTTCATGAAGAATATCAATAAAACGTTCTCCACTGCCTCCCTATTCACCAGCGAATCAATTTTAAGACCCTCATTCTTATCTTCGAATGTCTGTATGGCCTTGTCTCATCCTACCTCTATGATCCTGCTCCCCTGTCCATGCTTTCTGCTACATCAACTCTGCTCTGGTTCATTTCTCCTGCCTGCATCATTTCACAATCTGGGTGAGCTTTCAGTCACGGTGCTGCGCTCTCCAGAACTGTCTTCTGATATCCCTCCTTCTCACACGCTTTCTCAATCCTTTTAATCCCATCTAAATACTTATCCATTCGCTATCCCCCTCCCGATTGCCCTCCAAGCAGAGCTTTGACTTTGTAAAGCACTTGGAAATGTTCTTCCACCTGAAAGACGGCTGTATACATTCAAATTGGCCATGTATTCAAGGCTCTGAGTGCATACCTCAATAAACCTGGACGTATCTTAATGTAGGGGAACCTCAAATGCTTAAAACTATTAATATGCAATATATCCAACTATGTTTATTAATAGTATGGTTAATTACATTTTCATCCTCCTGACTCCTCTTGATGTGAAAGGAGCTACGTAAATGCAATTTGTTGTTATTATTATCGTGCATTTTCTCTTTCAGATAACAGCTGCTAATTCTCAAAGTTTAAAGGGAATTCCTGTCTGTCATACCACACTGAAGAATTCAGCAAGATTGATCTCAACACAGCAATTGCAGTAAACTGCTAGCAGTGGACAAGAATAGACATTGATGGCTAGGTGAAACAGGTGAATCAGATTTGTATAATGTCATTTCAGTTCCTGAGACTGCAGGTGAAGGAAAATATGTGCTAATATCCAATTTTGTGTAAATCTTAACTTATTTTCTGAAATAAGTAGAAAAAATATTGTTTGAGCAACAGCAAATTCATTAGAAACATTAATGAGGATTAAAAGTAAACCTCAAAAGAACAGTTCAATACTGCATGAATGTTTACCTGTACAATAAAACAATTAAAGCAGATTCATGTATTTATTGGTTAATATGTTGTTAGTGTGTTCATTTACAATCACACTCCAACACATTGTTAAATGCTTCAGACATTTGTTTGTCACAATATGAAAATTTCTCGATGAACAATTGAGATTTGGGTTTGACAACACTGCACTAGTCTCAAATCCTGCTCAAGTCCCAAATTCAGACCAGTCTTCTAATCCAAAGCAAAGTTCTCTAAACTAAGCCTCGTTACATTTGTATAGGTTAAAAAAATGAATTAGCATTTCTGCTTACTATAATACATTATGATATAAAAATAATCCGTGCCTTTTACTTAGCACCTTGTGTCATTGAGCCGTTTCAAAGCACTTCATAGGATAAATAATAATAATAATCCTTGCATTTGATATAGTGCCTTATCATGTCTTGAAGACATCTCAAAGTGCTTCACAGAATATACTGTAAAGTGAATTGACTATATTTTGCTGTAAAGTGTAATGACTGCATTTTATTGGTGAATTTGATCAAAGTAATGTTTCAAGCAGTCACAAAGTGAAAAAACAATTTTATCTGTGGTATTATTGGCCAGCAAACCGGGCAAAACTTCCCTTTTTGAATAAAACCTATGGGATCTTTAATATCCAGCTGAACAGGCAGACTGGACCTCAATTTAATGTCTCGTCTGAGGGACAGCACCTCTAACAAATCACGTTTCGGCCACAAAATATACAGTCAGTTCACTTTTCATAGATTCTGTGAAGTGCTTTGAGACATCTCGAAGAAGTGATAAGGCGCTGTGTCAAATGCAAGGGTTACTATTATTATCACTTCCCCTGACATTGCACTGGAGAACCAGCTTAGACTGAGTTTGCAGTCGTAATGTGGGGCGAATTCAACAACAACAAAATTACATTTGTATAGTGCCTTTCATGTTGGAAGACGTTGGACAGACAGAGTTTCAGACCCGAGCTGGGGGTCGGGATCGGGGAGAGTGGAGGGCAGGGGGGGGAAGCAGGGAGATCAAAAGCACGGTCAAAGGGGAGGGCCTTGAGATGGGTCTTGAAGGAGGCAAGGGAGGGGGTGAGGAGAAGGGACTGGGATGGAGTTCCAGAGGGTGGGGGCAGAGTGGCAGAAGGACTGCCCACTAATAGTGAGGGAGCGAGGCAGGGGAAGTGAAGCAGGCCAGAGTCTGAGCGGTGGGAGCGAGCAGGATGGTGGGTTAAGAGGTTGCACAGGTAGGAGGGCTTTGAAGGTGAGGCCAGGATCTTGAACTGAATCCTCTGTGTGATGGGAAGCCAGTGAAGTCAAGGACGGAGGGGATAGGTCACGGAGCCTGGTTCGGGAGAGGACACGGGCTGCATAGTTTTGGATGATCTGCAGCCTGTGGAGGGAGGAGTTGAGGAGGCCGATCAGCAGAGTTTGCATAGTTGAGCCTCGATGCAATGAAAGCATGTATAAGGGTTTCGGCAGCCTGCGGTGTGAGACAGTTGCGGAGCTGGGCGATGTTGCGGAGGTGGGGAAGGCAGAGCAGGTCATGGCGCAGATGTGGGGTAGAAAGGATAGTTGAGGGTCAAACAAGACCCCAAGGTTCCAGACTGACTTAGCAAGGTGGAGTGTGCAACCACAGACGGTGATGCTGTCAGTGCCTGAGGTGAGGAGGCACTGACTGGAGCCAATTAGGAGAGCTTCGGTCTTGTTTATGTTCAACTGAAGCAAGTTAGCTCTCCTCCAGGACTTGATGTCTGACAGACATTCTGTCAGGACAGCAGTGGTCCTGGAGTCGAGGGTGGAGCAGAGAGGTAGAGTTGGGTGTCATCCGCATACATGTGGAAGTTGACCCCATGTCTGCGGATGTTGTCGCCAAGAGGGAGCATATAGATATTGAGGAGGAGTGGACCAAGGACAGAGCCCTGAGGAACGCCACACAAGACGGTCCGGGGGCTAGAGGAGAAGCTGTTTGTGGAGATGAAGTGGAGGCGGTGTGAAAGGTATGATCTGAACCAGTCAAGAACAGAGCCATAAAGGTTGAGGTGAGAGGAGAGGTGGTGGAGGAGGATAGAGTGGTCAACGGTGTCAAAGGCAGCAGAGAGGTCAAGAAGAACGAGGAGGCAGAGGGAGCCATGGTCGCAAATGGACAGAATGTCATTTGTTACTGACCAGGGCTGTTTCTGCTCTCTGGGTGGCATGGAAACCCGATCGGGGCAGTGGATTCAGGGGCAAGAGTGCTAGTGACTGAGTTGGGCTGACACCTATCCCCTCTTCAGACCTGCACCTCATTCTATTGCTGCTTTTAATTTTGTCGAGTAAATTTGGTAACTACTGTCGTATCCAATCCTACTAAAATGCTCTTTCATGCAGATTCAGGGACTCTGGTTTTCATTAAATATATATGACAAAGAGCGAAATGTGGAGTCCGCAGCAGGGTTGACAAAGAGCAAATTGAAAACTGTCCTCAGGGACTCTATGTAACTTGTAACCTATATATTTAGGATGCCAAGGGATGAATTCAAGTCATTTGACACACTACTTATTCTCAGTGTAGAAGGCACTGAATGGACAGTACATGCTCAACTATCAGCTCCTCTTTTCCCTTTGTGGCCAGTCCTTCAACAAAACAAAGCTGTTCACTTGCAACAAACTAATGTTGAAGACTAGTTAAAACATAACGCAATGTTCTGTTTTGTCACCATTCTTAATGTCTCTTTAATAGGTCCTATTTTATTCACTGTTATTGTAGCTTTTTTTTGCTAATTTTGGGTGTTATAAACGATGCAGTTGGTCCCACAGTGTCTGATTTCTTTGCATTTGTTCTGACATCTTCCTCTTTCCACATCTAACAAGTAGCCACATGTGAAGTCAGGGTAATTTCCTGCAGCAAAGGTAAGTTGTTTCTGGTTACGTATTTGATATGTTGGTTTTACAATTGACGTATAGCAAAACTTATTACAAAAATATTCATATACTCCATATGAAAGTATGCAGTTAGAAGGCTTAGATAATGTATTTACATATGTATTTACACTTTACTTATTCCCAGGATAGAAGGCACTGAATGGACAGTACACGAGCAACAAACTAATGTTGAAGACCAGTTAAAACATAACACAGTATATTATAAATTTTATACAGTAAGATCTTTGAAAAATCCAAGTTGTGTTTGTAAATGTTATTTATTATGAAAGCTGGTGTTAGAGAAATTTCTCTGAACTGAAATTGCAATAATCACTCGCTTTGTTTGGTACTGCTTGAAATATTGTCAATCCAGCAAAGTACTTGGAAACAATAATTGGACAAGAAATGATGCCAAATATTGTAGTGACAACAACTTACATGAATACAGCTCCTTCCACATTAAAGAACATTTGACAAGCATTTGACAAATGTCATAGTGCACACCAACTAGGTTTGGAATGTGTTGTAATAATTTGTTTAGAGGTCACTGAAGATATGATTTCCAGTAATGTGTTCCTGATCCTTTTATGTTACGGATGGATGATTTAAGTATCACTTAAACACCGCCGTTTGATACGAAAATACAAAATGTGTGCTGTTTTGCAGGTATATCCATTGACCTAGATATTGATTGTGTCTGGCAAACATGCTCCTGTCAATTTGTGCTTCTATTGTTCTGCTTTTTACTGTGATGGGAAGGCTTGCTGCTAACCCAGGAATGAAAATTAAAATTACGGACAAAGGTTTACAATATGGTGAGTACGGTGTGAATGCTTGTGTTCTTTCAGAAGATGTTAACTGAGGTTCATGTAGGGTATAAACACAGGCATGGACAAGTTAGACCAAATGGCCTGTTTCCGTACAGACTATGTAATCCTATGTAAATTCCGCAAACCCCTTATCAATATATGAATTGGATAAGGATTGTCACTTCTGTCTGTATGCAGATTTTTTACATCACGTGTTGAATGATTTTATATTGGGTCTGTTACACAGNAAAAAATAAGTTTCATTAAAAATAAATACATTTCAATGAATTTGTAAGTGCACATTTAGTGGTGCTTATCTCTACTTTGTGCTAAGAAGTAAAATGAATGATTTTCAGTACACTATGTAGTTTTAAATAGCTTTTAACATACTATTACCAATATTATGTAAAAAAATCTTCCAGGTGTTTAAAACCATCCATGCTGAAAATCTATTGCATCTTTTACTATCTCCTTTTGCTAAACACAAATATGTTTTACAGTCCTATATGTGTATTAATTACCTATAATGCAATATCATTAGCCAGAAAAATTGGTGTCAATTTGCTTGAGCAGAAGATTAAAGAGTTTCAATTGCCAGATGAGACTGGGAAAATAGACCTGATGGGATGGCTAGATTACAAAGTATCAAGGTATGTATGGAAGTAATATACCAGGATTTTGTTGTGTTGTACTACTGTATTGCTTTTGACTTTGGGCTTATTCCTTGGAAGGCAAACAAGAAATGGTTACTCAACCACTTTACCTGAGCAGCTTTACTACGTTGAAAAACAGTATCAATAAAAGTGACTCATCAATTGATAAGCCATCAAATACAGTTGAAATTCCCAATCTTGCTTTCTGGTGAGATCAGTGTACCCAGTGGATAAAACAGAAACAGTGTCTCTCACATTTGATTCCTGCAATAAACCATTAATAATGTAAAATTTAAATACAGCACACAATAACCTGGGTTGCATATTGCAGTTGCCACTCTTCTTGTAGCCACAGTTTCAATAAGAAGTTATAACATAACTTATGTCAGGGTGGTTCAACCTCTAGGTTGCTGAGGGCTGGATGCCCTATTTGAGAAAGGACACGTAAGCAATATTGTTGTGCTTCCCTTCGTGAAACATAACATTTACTGTTTATGGAGGGTATGGGTGGGCCAGATAAAATGGGAGGAGGGTTGAACAGATTAAATCACTATGTAGAAATCGCTCCTTTTTCTGAGAATATAGGGATGTGAATGCAAGACAGATGTAAATTATTTATTTGTTATCCCAGGCTACAACTTATAGATGTTGGATTGCCCAATTCCAGTGCAGAGTTCATTCCCAACATCGGTATCAGATTTTCAACCGATGTTTCCGTTAGCCTGGTTGGAGAATTGGAGGTGTCATTGGGACTACTGTAAGTTGTTCTGACTTCTTTTGACTCCGGTTGAAGCAATTAGAATACATTTATATTTTGTAGTATGGTTCAGACGACTTTGATGATTGCTGACTGGTATCTAATGCTTATTATGTACCATCAGACCGTTGAGCATGTCCATCAGATTAGGAAGGAAGATTTCACCTCAAAAGAAAAGAAGATAGACATAATTTAAAAGATGACAATGCCTTAAAAATTCAGACCTAAGACAGAATTGGGGGCAGGATATTTTTCTTTACAGAGAGGGTTGCATAGGTATTGAATGCTGATGGGGCAGAATCAGTAGGGGCATCTAAAAGAGAGATAGATGGACCTAGTTAGAGATAAATACTTGGGTAGCAGTGTTCTTAAGAGTTATAGTGAAAGGACAAGGATGTGGAATTAAACGATTTGTGAAGATGGAATAAATTGGTGGAACAGTTTTTAAGGCTGCACCTGCTTTCCTTGGTTCCTAAAATAAATTGTCAGGTTAGGGAGAATTACACAGGCTAATTTATTCATCAATATATGTGTCAAAAATCCTAAAATGCTCTTCGCTGGTCCTTATTGATGATGACTTTTTGACACCATCTCCATATTTTAAGCTTGACAATAATTAAATGTGGAAAAGCTGCTTTGCAGTCTAACTAGGATCAAACTATTTCTGTTAACGTCTCTGCTGTTTCATCTTTCAATAGATATAGTGCAGGGACTTTTAACCTGAACATCAGTATGCTTTCAGCAACATTTGTTGTTGGATTCCTACACAACGATGGTCGACCAACAGTTAAACCCATTAGTTGTAACTCAACATTGAAAGATTTTGAAATTACTTTTCATGGAAGTAGCAGGTATGTTCCTTGTGGCTTGCAAGATTGTACCTCTTGAATGTTATTTCCATATAATGTGTTGATGTGTTCCACTGGCGACATTATGAATTGAATCTCAGCAATGCTTCTTTATATAGAGTATTTCAATAAAATGTTTCATTTGGAAAGAAGGCAGTTTTGAATGAATTTTAAATGAAATTGTAATGCATGGAAGGATTATATTAAATTGTATGTTGTAGATCCATGCTTTTGAACTCTTAAACCATAAGTATGAAGTTCTCTCTTGTTGACAAGAAGAGAAGCATTCATTTACAGTTAAACTTTTAAATATAGCTTCTTCAATGGTCTTTTTGGTAAAAGTATGCATTCAGACATACTTTTTAGTGAAAATACGCCTCCATGGCACATTCAGACCAGAGGTTAACTGATCTCAGCCAAACCAGAAATTAGTGTGCTTCAGTCATTCTCCATGCCTCTGGGTTAGAGACTGAAAAATCATCCACATGAATAATAGTCATATTCCAGATGTTAACATTTTATATTTTCCTTTTCCCAGCTGGCTTCATCGTATGTTCATTGAAAGAACAAAAGGTGAAATCAGAAAAGCTTTTTCCAAGAAGGTATGTCTTGGACTGCTTCTTGATTTTTTCCTTCTAGGTCTAGATGTTATTCAGTCTAATGGGAAGAAAAGTGTGTAAACAGAAAGCAGCCCCTGTCAGTTGTCTGTATTAAAATAATAACTTGCATTTATATGGAGCCTTTCACATAAAATAACGGTAGGCAATAATGGCAACCAATGTACTCAATTAACTTGAATTTTGGATAAATTTGCATTAAAGAGGGGAATGTGATTAAGGGAAACCAGGAGAAAGGTTCCACATATCTTTGAAATAAAAATGTAACTATAAGGAAATGGATAGAGCTTTCAAACATAATAGAAAGGGTATCACTTGAGCGCTTACTGACAGCTTTATAAAAATTGAGTTAAAAAGTAGTTTAATTTTTGTGTGGAGATGGTGTCTGCTGACAATTTGGTTGAATTTTGAAGATGCCTTCAATTGTTTTGATAGGATGTTTTACATCTAACTAAGCATTCAGTTGGAAAAGCAATTGAGAAACAAATTAAACTTAAAACTTAGCGAAAAGATGTTATACTGGACTTTTCACCCATAGTGGAAATGAGGAAAAGTATCAAATGGTGAATAATAATATATAGCTTTAAATGTTTCGCCCACAGCATACATATTGGGAGGTGATGCCAAACATGTCATTACTATGCGAAGAGCATTTCCAAAACCTTTTCCGAAATCTTCTCGCATTTTACTTTTATCACTCACATTTTGTTTTCTTGTCAGGTGTGTTCACATTTTGTAAGTTTGATTGAAAGGCTTGAAACCATGGATCAGACTGGTAAGCTAATTGGACGAACCCATCACATTTGTGTGAATGCATTGTGTAAATTTACACCTTCAATCTTGTACAAGTTTACAATTTTTTTATCATTTTATTTCACAGCCTTACAGCAAGTGGACCATTATGTTGCATTTGATTATTCTTTGGTTAGAGAACCTGTGATCACAGCAAATTCCATTGAGTGGCCTATTAAGGTAGAGTTGCGAAATTGCAATGCAAAATGTTGGGCTACATTAATTGTCACAGTTTCTGGAATCTGGAGAAGCACTTTTTGCTTGTGTACATGTGAATCAATCATTTCCATTTTTCTCTGACTGACACCAAACCTTTCTTCCAAAATTAATTCCGTAAGCATGTAATTAATTAAAAAATTATAATCTATTTCAAACATAAGTTTAATACAATCTGAATGTAAAATGTGCTCTTATCCTTTTATGACTTTCACTTAATTTCTGATCAGTTCATTTTGAATTACTAACACATTGAATTGCTTCTTGTTCAGGGTATAGTTTATGATCGTCAGCATCGTAAGCCACCTCCATATGATGTACAACCATTTAATCTCCCGGATATCACTGATTTAATGTTGTACGTTGGAGTATCGGAGGATGTCCTCAACACAATGGGATTTGCATATTTTGTAGCTGGAGCTTTGCAAATCGACATCACTGATGATAAGGTAAGTGAATTATCCTGTTAAGGTGCAGTAATTAATGAGGCAGCCTGGTGTAGCTGAGCATTTCACTCGTAACCAGAAACTTGCGAGTTCAAATCCCAATCAATAGAACTTCTTCAACAACCTAGCGTGAATCTTGCAAACTCTTGACCAGAATGCTGTTTGGGACCATGTTTCCTGCCATGCCATCAGTGACAATGATGGAATTCATGAAAAAACAAACACTCCAAAGCGTAAAATTGTTTCTTTATTTTGTGATTTGAAGGATTTCTGTTGAAGAAAGATCAGTAGGTTTGAATAGTGGAGATGAAGGTTGGGTGAACATTAATATTTAATGCAACGATTATTATTTCCTAGAATTGTCATTTCATTATCTTTGTGGTTCAGAAAATATCTATGCAGAATTTTTCCATAGGATGTAGAATAGGTGGTATGTAGTTTATGAATAGGGTCGACTTTGTTTGGTTGTGGGTGGAGATGTTTTATGGGCCAAATGGACTTTTTCTTCAGTTTCCCATTCATTTAGATTTTACAACTCACTGTCTTATTTTCAGCTTCCAGAAGACATATCCCTTCGATTGAACACATCCAACCTGTCATTATTGTTGCCTGAGGTCAGTTCAATTTAGACCTCAAGAAATTCATTCAGAATTCTTTAGATCACTCAGTTTTATTATGATGACTAGTGGTGGAATACTACTTAACTTGTCCATTTATTTTTTCTTGCATTTAGTCATTTCACTCTTATTTATTCATTGTGGTCTAATATGTAATACAGCAAACTTCACATAAGTCATGTAGGTTGGGATCATACATTAATATGACTTATGCAAAGTATGAGTTATGTCGAATTTACATAGAATATAAACTCTTGAATGGGATTTAGGCAATTATACGATTTATACGGATCAGACTTATGTCAGTTTTACTGTATTTCCTAATAGGAAATGTGTAATGTTCCCACATTTTGAAAGTGTAAAATATTATTACGTACATTCTTTAGCACATTCTATGTTATTGGAAGCTTCAAACAGGTGAAATATTCTTTGCACATTACAGTACCAGTTTGCAAACAATGTCCTCTAGATGATATCAATATTAATTTTATTGAGATTATTTGAAAATATATTTCCCAAGAAGGGATTTTTGTCATATTTATGCTGTACAGAATATTATGACAACACTATCACAACCTTCTTTCTCATTTATCTTGTGTGATGTTGTGCAAATACATATTTTCCATTAAAACATTGTCACCTTCTGCTATTGGTCCAGTTAAAAATGCCTTTGGTTCCCACCAGGTTGGCAGGCAACACCCCAACATGTTGATGAAAATTGAGATGAAATCTACAAAGCAGCCTCTATTTACCCTCACTCCGGATAACTTCACTGCAGATCTATTTGCTACAGCCAATGTGTTTGCAATCCTACCTAATAATTCTTTATCTGAACTATTTTCACTGGGTGTTGTGAGTATTGATGTCTTTAATATAATAATCCTTGTGTTTTCTAAGCACTTTACAGGTTTTGCTGTAGAAAGTAGTAACTGTGTGTTTTGTAGGCAAACGTGACAGCACAATAATGTCCTACAACCAGCCATGAAGTGAATGAGCAATTTTACCTGGAGGACCGTTAAGACAGCACATTGGAAAAAACACCCTTATCTTTGGTAGTTCCTTGGGATTTTTAACAACTGTCTGAATGTCCCAGTTTTCTTAAAAGTGAAAGTCTGTAGACTGTTCTGCAATGTATTTCCTCTTGCTGTGGCTAACTGCCTGAGCTTCACATGACAACTGCTTGTAGCAGCATGATTGAAATCAAGAGCTCACTGTGTGAGTAACTGCAGTTTAGACCTACAGTGTACCATTCCGGAGAGAATCAGCAAAAAAAAATGTGTGGTATTGTGGCCTGCACCCAAAGAGTTAGCAAGTAGGAAAAAATATATAAATATGCATTTTAGTTATAAAGAGAATTTTGTTTTCACATTCAGTGAGAAATCCACACATTTGGAGCATTCTCATGAGCTGTGTGGTATAACAAGTAATATCAGCCATGATCTAATAGAATGGCAGAACAGTGGCTGAATGGCTCACTCCTGTTCCTATGTTTTGATGTCAAATTGAGCAAAGTCTGATCCAAATGTGTTCAACATTTAAAGATGGAAAACAACCTGAGTTGAAGAACATTTCACAATTTATTGGATTACCAAATTTGGATTCAAATTAGTTTCGTTTTAACAGATTGATACATTCAGTTTTTATATTTGATCCTAGACAGCCAGTGTAGGAGCTCAGGTGTACATATCAGAAATGAGATTGCGTGGATCAGTGCATCTGAAAAGGTAAACGTTAATACATTTTTTTTCAAATGTAGTTCCTGCTATTACTGCCTCAGATTAGTAAACTGCTATAATTAGCTGATCAGAGTACACAATCTATAGTAATTATAATAATAATCTGTCTTTCATAATAATAATAATCCTTGCATTTGATATAGCGCTTTTCACGTCGGGAGGATGTCCCAGAGCGCTTCACAGAACACACTGTAAAGTGAATTGACTGTATATTTGTGGGCAAACGCAGCAGCCAATTGCGCACAGCAATGTCCCACAAACAGTTGTAGATTGAAAATGACCAATTTATCATTGTTTTTGGTTTTGGAGGGATTATTATTAGGCTCTGTGTGGAGTAAGGAAACTTGCCCAAGGTTTCGCCCTGTGCCTGGAATTGAACTCAGGTCTCTCGCTTGCAAAGCGAGTGCTCTAGCCACTGAGCTACAGGACTCCACAATAATCCTTGCATTTGATTTAACGCCTTATCATGTTCTTCAAGACGTCTGAAAGTGCTTCACAGTGTATACTGTAAAGCGAATTGATTCTATTTTGTCGGCAAACCCCGGCAGCCAATTGCACACAGCAGCGTCCCACAAACAGTGCTCTAACCACTGAGCTACAGGACTCCACTGTAGCTCAAGCGATGGAGATTTTGGGATTTACGAAGCGACTGGTTCACTGGGAACTCCCACCCCATGAAACTATTTTGGGACGTCCTCCCGACGTGAAAGGCGCTATGCAAATGTAATCTAGTTGTTGTTGTATTTTACACAGCAAAGCTTTGTGACACAGGTCAGAACAGAAACAGAAACAGCTCGCACAGAAACCACACTTCTTTTGAGACTTGATAACTTCATGACAAGAGGATGTCTCCCAAGTGCTTCACAGAATATACTGTAAAGTGTATTACTGTTTTTGTTTTAGAGCAAATATGCAATCAATAAAAGTTAGTTCTGACAAGCTTTGAATAAGTTAGAAAACTTCTGGAAAGCCCCACTTATTTCAGGGGTGCACAATAATACAGACAACTTCAAAATTGTAGTTTATAAGCTCATAATTTTATTTTCATTTTTCAAATACTATGTAAAATATCAAACACAAAAATGCAAAATTGAGGAGAGGGGCTGTATTCTAAGTTGTTTCAAAAAAAAATTTACAAAAATGATTTCATAATACCCAGGTGTTGCTACTGTCCAGATTCCTATTATTTGATGATGGGGTAAGGAGGGATTCAATAAGAGGGGCAAAGAGATTGTATCAGCGGGTAACATAAAAAGGAAACCTAAGGTATTTTATAAGCATATGAAGAATAAAAGCTTAGTCAAAGGTAGAGAGGGTCTAATTAGGGGCCAAAGAGGAAATCTTATGGAGGCAGAGGGCATGGCTGACGTACTGAATGAGTATTTTGCATCTGTCTTCACAAAAGAAGAGGATGGAGCCAATATCACAGTATTGGAGGAGAGGGGAGAGAAATTGGATAAGAAAAGAATAAACTAAGAGGACTGAAAAGGTTGACGGTGCTCAAGGTAAATAAGTCACCCGGTCTGGACGGGATGCATTCTAGGTTACTGAGGGAAGTAAGGGTGGAAATAATGGAGGCTCTGGCCACAATCTTTCAATCCTTCTTGGACACCAGGGTGGTGCCAGAGGACTGGAGGGTTGCAAATGTTACTCCTCTGTACAAAAAAGGGCAGAAGGATAAACCTGGGAACTACAGGCCAGTCAGTCTAACGTCAGTAGTGGGGAAACTTCTGGAGACTATAATCCGGGACAAAATAAATTTTCACTTAGAAAAATATGGATTACTAAAGGACAGCCAACACAGGTTTGTTAAAGGCAAATCTTGTCTAACGAGCCAGATAGAGTTTTTTGATGAAGTGGGTTTATATAAGTAAATCTTTGAAGGTGGCAGGACACGTAGATAAAGCTGTTAAAAAGGTATATGGGGAACTAGGGTTTATAAATAGAGGCATAGCATGCAAACGTCACGAAGTTATTATGAACCTTTATAAAATACTGGTTAGGCCTCAGCTGCAAACTGTATCCAGTTCTGAGCACCTCACCTTAGGAAGGATATCAAGGCATTGGAGAGGGTGCAAAGGAGATTTACCAGGATGGTACCAGGAGTGAGGGCCTTCAGTTATCAGGAGAGGCGAGAGAAGCCGGGATTATTCTCCTTGGAGCAGAGAAGGTTAAGAGGAGACTTAATAGAAGTTTTCAAAATCATGAGGGATTTTGATAGGGCGAACAAGGAGAAATTATTTCCACTGGCGGGTGGGTCGGTAACCCGAGGACACTGATTTAAAATAGTTGTTAAAAGAAACCGAGGGTGGTGAGGAGAAATTTTTTCATACAGTGAGTTGTTCGGATCGGCAATGCATTGCCTGAAAAGCTGGTGGAAGCCGATTCGATAACAACTTTTAAGAGAGAAGTAGATAATTATTTGGAGAGGACAAGTTTGCAGGGCTATGGGGAGAGAGCGGGGGAGTGGGATTGATTTGGATAGCTCTTTTCAAAGAGCCCACACAGACACGATGGGCCGAATGGCCTCCTTCTGTGCTGTATAATTCTACGATTCTATGATTCTATTGACTTCTGAAATTAAATGTGACAAAATTATTTTCTTATTTTTTAAAATAGTTTTGATCTAGTTTTGAAACAATCAAAAGTGGGGAATATTCAAGTGAGTACTATTCAATGGAACTATTTACATTATCACTTTTAACTCGCTGCAATAATTTAAATTTAAAGAAGAATTGATAGAGAAGTATTTCTAAAATTAGCTGCTGCGATTGTTTCTTTAAGTCATTATTTTAAAATTATTCAGGAATAAGAGAAACGTGTAGAATATCTGCGTTGAATACTCTATCAAAGTTATTTACTCTGATTGCACACAGGTGAAGGCATTGGATACGATTCTAACGATTGTATTTAAGAAGAATGTGCTTCCAAAGTTAAATGGTATGTTCATCTGAGTGAGAAAATCCTAAATGTTCAATTTGTATTACAATTGTCTCATAATAGACTATATCTTAGTTCTTCAGCATTTTGAACCAGCACCATTGTAGACAGTAAGTATAAAAGAGAATTTTCTTTTGTAAAGTGTTCTGCATTTTCTTGAAGTGTAATTGTTTTCGGAATTTTTTTTAGGAAATAGATTTTTATACGAGCAGTAAATGCATGGAGCAGGCTACCTAGGGAGTCAGTGGAAGCTGAAAGTGTTGATTCTTTCAAAGGCAAATAGGATAAGTTTATGTCAGGAAAAAATATCTTGGGATACAGTATATAGTTTGAGACATGACATGTGAATGCGACTGCCAGGATGACGGAAGGCGAACTGGATAGACTTTGGTCTTCTTTCATCTAGCAAATTCGTATGCTCTTATGTGAAAAAATGTTGGCAGCAAATTGTTACCAAGTTCATGCTGACAAATAGCTTTAAAAAAGAAACCATATAAAAATAAGAATTGTTTTAAAAATAAAATTCTTGTGTCTTCTCCCATTTTTCTAGTGTCACTGTACAGAGGGAAGGCCCTACTAATCTTACACAAAGTATCACTGCCGAATGCAATCATTAAAATTAACAAGGTAATCAATCCATATTTATATTGCTATTCAGAAAGAGAAACATGTACCTCTTCTTAACTCATAAGTACTCACATTGAAGGCTTGTTTGTGTAAAGTTGCCACACCTGATTAACGGTTGAATACTATGAGTAATATTAAATTAAAATGTCATTTTTAAGAAAATAGAAGCTATTTCAGCAAAAAGCCACCAGACTAAATAAAAGTTCAGTGTGATAAATTATAAACAATTTCATATTTTACAAGAGTTTCAGTATTTAAATTTAATAAAAGTTTTTTTTTAAAAAAAGTTGGTTTAGTGTTACTAATGTTGTTGCTGTCTGCCTTACCTGCAAAATAATTTAAATAGCTGCAATATATGAACAACATTGTCTTTAATTCATGTTTTAAAATGGACTTTGGTGTGAAAGTAGCATTTTCTCTTTTTTAAAAGGATATCGAGATGACATCCCTAAACTATGTTAAAAGAACAAAGATCAATAAATATGTCTATTATACTGTAGTAGAGAAAGAACACAAAATAATCAGTCTGAAGCAACACCATATAAATAAATAAATATTTTCATTCTGCCTTCATCACAAGGCTCATTAATGTGTCCTGTTGGCAATTTGACAAAAAAAACTCATTAATGCTATGGGAAAGATGCAAACTCCCGAGTGAATAAACTTGGTGACGAATATGTGTTGTAATTTAGATGATTAGTTGGAAAGGAACATGAAAGGTACACTGCATCTTCTAAAACTGTAGATAAAGCTGTTAAAAAAGCATACGGGATACTAGGCTTTATAAATAGGGGCACAGAACACAAAAGTCAGGAATGTATGATGAACCTTTATAAAACACTGGTTTGGCCTCAGCGAGAGACTGTGTTCACTTCTGGGCACCACACTTCAGGAAGGATGTCAAGGTATTGGAGAGGGTGCAAAGGAGATTGACCAGGATGGTACAAGTAATGAGGGCCTTCAGTTATCAGGAGAGGCGAGAGAAGCCGGGATTATTTTCCTTGGAGCAGAGAAGATTAAGAGGGGCCTTAATAGAAGTTTTCAAAATTATGAGGGGATTTGATAGGGTGAACAAGGAGAAACTATTTCCACTGGCAGGTGGGTCGGTAACCCGAGGACACTGATTTAATAGTTGTTAAAAGAAACAGATGGGAGCTAAGAAGAAATTGTTTGGATCTGGAATGCATTGCCTGAAAGGGTGGTGGAAGCCAATTCAATAGCAACTTTTAAGAGAGAAGTAGATAATTATTTGGGGAGGACAAGTTTGCAGGGCTCTGGGGAAAGCACGGGTGAATAGGATTGAATTGGATCGCTCTTTTCAAAGAGCCAGCACAGACACGATGGACTGAATGGCCTCCTTCTGTGCTGTATACTTCTGTGATTCTATTAGTAATGCATTTGTTTTTTTTAGGGTATGTTAATGCTTGGGACTGATCTTGAGTATCGTGGCTGAAGGCAAGTTTACTCAAAAGTGTTTGTTCGACTGGATCTCAGTGACACCAAGCTGAATTAGAATTGCAGTGAAGTTTATTTGTGATTAAGAACATCGTTGTAAGTCTTATATTGTTATGTGCTTCATTTGAAAGACAATGCACACAAATAAAAGTAGTTTTGCATTATTGTGTGAGGTTCCAAACTAGGACTCAAAATGTCTTCTTTTACTAGCACTTGACATGCCGAACAGTTGATTGAATAAGGATCTTAGTGAAAGGAAAGACTTTTCAAGAAGTGACAATAAAGAAAGATTCATTAGAACAAACTAGAGTAGAACTTCACCCAGTGGGCGTCTCAGTACAGGAAAGCTTCACTGTTCAGCTACTTTTTCAGTAAAATTACCTAGAATTGTAATAATAACATTTGAAGTATAATATAATACGAGGAATTATGTTTAAAATTTTAGCAAATTATAATCTTATTACTTAGTATCTATGAACACTATCCATAAGGATACTATCAGATATCTCAAATATTTAATAAATATTAGATTACTTAATGAGATATTTAAATCACAAAATTCTAATATATTTGAATTTCCCACAGTGACCCAAGAACTCTTCTAATTATTTTCCTGAAATTCAGGAAACTGTTGCAGAACTATGTTATGACATTACCATGATCATTATTTAGGATGGTGATGAGAACAGAAAACATACGCGAAGAGGAAAATAATTTTTCACACCTAGTATAATTGGACCCACCTCACATGGTGAATCCCACTTTTTTAATATAATGTGTAAACATTAAATGGTACAACATTTGATCTATTTTTACAAAATGAGGAAACCCTCTGATGGAGCAAAAAGGATATACTGTATATACATAGCAGAAAATTGTTCTATCTACCATGATTCTCATCAGTCACTTGAATTAACGTTATGCTTTATTTTTATTTGCAACCACAGACTTTCTGTTCTGTAATAGACATCATAAATTACAGAAATATTGGAAAAATGATTCAAACATATCTCTATTAATGTACTTTGAAAGGCAATTAAGTGCATAATTTAAAAGAACTCAAATTGAACGTAAACATTCTTTACGATAATAATTTCACATACATATTACTTACAAATGTAATTTTGTTGTTGTTTGAAAAGCTGTTTGCAAATGCACAGGAAAAAAAATAATGATAGTACATTTATAAACTGTATACATTGCAATACTTGTGATTCCCATTTCCCTACTAGTAACTTAATTTAAAATCTTTGGTGCTTATGTAAGCACCAAGTCATTAGATTTATGCCTCTTTGCATCAGCCTGATCATCACTTTCTAATACCAGGACACTGATTTGTGGATAACGGATTGCATTTTCTCTTGTTCTCTTCCAGTTGATTCTTTCCTCTGTACTGTTATTAGAGAACACGTATTCCTTAGAAAAGGATCTCTTTCTCTCTTCTCTATCCTTCATCATTTTATCTATATCGCTGCTTAAATTCGGGTTGTCAGCTCTAAACTTTTGAGCTGCCAATATCATGTCCTCTGCTTTAACTCTGGGCACGGGAACTGTGGGGATACCAGCGACCATCATGGCAAGAGCAAGGATGCACATCTTGGGTGTTTCGTTCTGCTTTGCTGTTTCTGTTTCACCTGCACTAGTAGACAAGACAGATCTGGAAGTTATAAGCACCCTCGGAGATGTCGATGAGAAACTTCCACTAGGACATCCTGTTCTTTGCAAAGAGTTTGCTTGTTGATAGCGTTCTACCTGCTGATGTCCTATCAGATGAGATGTTTCGTGATTGAGGAGAACATTCTGTGACCTCCTGCTTAATGACATCGTAGGATGGTTAAAATAATTCTGATGATGAAAATAATCTGCATGATTACCAAGAACACCGTTGAAAGAATACCCTTCGTAAAATCCTTGGGAATAAATCTCGGGGTAATAATCTCCCCATTGCTCCCACTGCTGTCCTGCATATTCCATGTTGGTTTGTATAGGGAAGTGATTCATTTGATAGTAATTGTTTTTGTCGAAGTGTATGAAAGGTGCATCAGTCTTTAGAATATTGTGTTATTTCTCCACAGGTCTTGATGTTAGTTTTTCGGGTTGTTTTTTTCCATAAACCAGTGCGTAGATAACTAGTGGAAATTTTTGTGGTCTTTGACTGAATTTGTTCTGAGCGGATTTTGTTTCCAATGATCACCTATATAAAAAATACATAGTTTAAAGACAATGAATCCATTATAACAATATTTTTATTAAAACAAAAAAAAACTTTTACTCAGTATAATTACCCTATGGGGTATTGCTATAGTTTAATTTTTAATTAAAAGATAACTTTCAAACTTTATTTTTGGTTGATACATGCAGAAACCCATCACCATGCTTAAGAGTAACCAAACTAAACTGAGAATTCCATGCATCCCACCTACACGTGGAAATTCCAGTGATAGATTGTTGAAATTAATTGATCCTTCATGTCAATCCAAGAAGTATATTCTTCCTTTGGATTTGTTTTGCATTCAGAACCAGGAAACTAAATTTTTGAGCACACATGAAGCACACAAATGGGGTTTGGCCAAGCCGGAATAAAAAGCAAAATCATATTCATGTGAGACATTAAATTGAGGTCCCATTTGCTTGTTGGTGGACTTTAAAGATTCCATGACTTTTCAAATATGCCAGGCAACAATGGTAATTAAGTTCATGTTTGCCTACAAATACACAGTACATACACTTAACAGCAATTGTTCATGAAGCACGTTGAGATGTTCTGACACTAAAAGTGCTACATCAAAAGCTTTATTGATTATTTTAACAAAATAACTGCTCTGAACTACTTGGAGCATAACCTGGGTCACTTACAAGTTGTAAAGAATCAGCTTGTAGAAGAAAGAAGAGGTGCGAAAGCTGGCTAAGTGCTTTATGAAGCAGGTTGAATAAACTGTGCAGCAAAGTACGAACAGTGTTTGGTTTGGATAATTCTTAGCATGGTGATGGGTTTCTGCATGTGGGCTCAAAATTGATAAGCCACCAGGACCAGATGGGTTTCACCCAAGGTTGCTGTGGGAGATACGGGTTCAAATAACGGAGGCTTTGGCCATTATATTTCAATCTTCATTGGACACAGAAGTGGTGCCAAGAGACTGGAGAGTGGCTAATGTTACCCCCCTCTACAAAAAGGGGCAGAAAGACAAACCCGGAAATTACAGGCCAGTCAGCCTAACTTCGGTAATAGGAAATCTACTGGAGACCATAATCTGGGACAGAATAAATCTCTACTTAAAGGAACATGAGGTAATTAGAGACAGCCAACAAATCTAATAGAATTTTTTGAAGAGGTGACTGCGAGGGTTGATGAGGGAAATGCGGTGGACGTTATTTACATGGATTTCAAAAAAGGCTTTTGACACAGTACCGCATAAGAGATTAATACAACAATTAGAGGCCCACGGTATTAAGGGAACAGTAGCCGTTTGGATTAGGAACTGGCTGAGTGACAGAAAGCAGAGAGTGGTGGTTAATGGGTGTTTCTCGAAATGGAAGGAGGTGTGCAGCGGTGTCCCCCAGGGATCAGTATTGGGACCACTGCTCTTTCTAATATATGTTAATGATCTGGACTTGGGCATAGAGAGCACTATTTCCAAGTTTGCAGATGATACAAAGTTAGGTAAGGTAGTAAATAGTGAGGAGGACTGTAACCAACTGCAAGCAGACATACACAGAATGGTGGAATGGGCTGACATGTGGCAGATGGATTTCAATGTGGATAAGTGTGAGGTGATACACTTTGGTATGAAAAATGATAGGAGGCAATATATACTTGGTAGCTCAATCTTAATGGGGGTGAACGTACAGAGAGATCTGGGTGTTCAAGTAAGCAAATCATTAAAGGTAGTGGGGCAGGTAGATAAGGCAGTAAAAAAGGCATTTGGTGTACTGAGCTTTATTAGTAGGGGCATAGAGTATAAGAGTAGGGAGGTTATGGTTAATCTATACAAAACACTGGTTAGGCCTCAGCCGGAGTATTGTGTCCAGTTCTGGGCACCTTACTTCCGGAAGGACATTAAGGCACTGGAAAGAGTGCAGAGGAGATTCACGAGAATGATAGCAGGAATGGGGAACCTTAGCTACGAGGACAGGCTGGAGAAGTTAGGACTTTTCCCATTAGAGCAGAGAAGGTTTCGTGGGGACCTGATAGAGGTCTTCAAGATCATGAAAGGTTTCGACAGGCGAGATAGGGAAAAGCTGTTTCCGCTGGTAGGTGTGTCTGTGACCCGTGGTCACAGTTTTAAGATATCTACCAAAAGAAGTAGAGGGGAGGTTAGAAGAATTTTTCTCACTCAGCGAGTTGTTTGAATTTGGAATGATCTGCCTGAAAGGGTAGTGAAGTCCGATTTGATAACAGTTTTTAAGAGAGAACTGGACAGGTATCTGGGGAAGACGGGTTTGCAGAGTTATGGGGAGAAAGCTGGTGATTGGGGTTAGTGAAAGTGACTTGCTCTGTCAAAGAGCCGGCACAGACTTGATGGGCCGAATGGCCTCCTTCTGTGCCGTAACATTCTATGAATCTGTGTGTCAGACCAAAAATAAAGTTTGAAAGTTACGTCTTAATTAAAAAATAAAAATTATACCATGACCAAAAAACACCTGACCACAACAACAACAACAACAAGATTCCATTTATAAAGCGCCTTTCACGTCAGGAGGCACGCCTTTCACGTCCCAAGGCGCTGCACAGTTGGGTCATGACCCGAGCAGGGGGGAAATGGTCAGGGTGAGGGGAGGGATGGGAGGGAGCGAGAAGGGGGAAGAGAGTCGAGAGGGGAGCTGAAGGCACGGTCAAAGAGAAACCATATGGACATGAAGAGTTTTCACTACACAAGATCATGAGCAAAGGGCTTTCACTAAATCTCAGATATTAATTTTATTGAGCAATTCTGTTGGTATAAAAGTGGATATTTTTCTCAACTATATAATAAAATGAGTGGTGTCAAAAACCCTACC